TCAATTCACTTATTTTCACCTTTGACCATACAAATAACATGATAATGTTAAGCTAAACTATTCATTTATAACAAGAAAGTGCACTCACGTGAATGACAGATGTTCACTTTCAGGCAAATCAAAAGTAGATTCCGATTTTAATCGATTAAAGTAGTACAATTTTCCAGTACTTCGACTAACCACCTCCATCCAATGATCTGTAAGACAAAAAACAATGAGATAAAAAGTAATGAGAATGATTAGTTTCACTTGGATGCAGCGAGTCAAACAGAAATGGGCTAATGTGAAGATTATTTTGATGACATTCAGAATATGACGTAACTTACGATTGAAGATTTTTTTAAAAACAAATTATTCTTTTGGTCATTTGAAATCATCAATCAATCATTGTTGGACCACCAACATTAGAAACCTGAAAGACGGCCGTTGCGTCCTGGTATGGGACTCATCAGAGGCAGTGCGTATCCACGACTCCTGCACCTCGCAGGATTCGAACCAGGGATCTTCGGTATTGTGCGCGAAGGCCTAACCATTGGGCCGGCGTCCAGCGGTGTTAATGTCTAACTCTGATCGATCTAGGGATTTTGCGTGACCTCACCTATTTGTCTTTGGTAGTTACTGCCGACACCCGACATCGTTGAACTCCACTGGTCACGTCTTCTCAACTAGAACTCCGAGAATCTCCTCACGAAGTTAGTCACTAGTGAGCAGTGTTACGATATTTTCAGTTAGAGCTTTGGAGATTTGTGTTTGTACACATTTGATATCATCAATCAATATTTTTTAGACCACCATTAGAAACCTGGAAGCACTGGATAAGGCTGTTTCGCGCTGGTATGGCACTCATCAGAGGCAGTGCGCATCCACGACTCCTGCACCTGGCAGGATTCGAACCCGGGACCTTCGGCATTGTGCGCGAACAGCTTACCATTGGAGCACTGGGTTGAACTCCACTGGTCACGTCTTCTCAACTAGAAACTCCGAGAATTTCCTCACGAAGCTAGTCACTAGTGAGAACTGTTACGATATTTTGGGGCAGAGTTTTGGAGGTTTGTGTTTTTTACACATTTGAAATCATCAATCAATCATTGGTTTAAATTTTATTTTACTCATATTACTACTAGCATTATTTTCACATCCTGTATACGTTGGGTAATTTCCTCTGCCTCTTGCCGTTTATAAGATTCAATATCTAATTATGCGCACACTTCTGATAACGTAATGTTTTTAATGTTGTGTAATGATTATTTTAAGTGTATTTATCCACGTTTCACCTACTATTGATAAAACTTTTGTTATCGTATTTTATAATTTTCTTACTACTATCAGTACACCTGTCTTCTTAATATCCATTTGTACTTTTGCCTATGATGTGCATAGTGACGTAATTGATTTCATTTCATTGTGATTATTAACTTATAAATTGCCTTGATTGGTTTGACATTTTCATATAAATATTCATGTATATGAGAGAGTAAAGCCTGATAACAACACCATTGTTCGCTTATAAGTGTTGTTCTGACTATCAGAAGGACGAATACATGTGATTGGTCAAAAATGACTGATTATATGGAAGTGTTCAGTCTTGAAGCAACATTTTGCATTTCGAGGGGGAAAACCGCATCCCGAACATGCTTGCATTGTTGCTTATGGTAGTCAGAACACTGCATTTTGTCAGCGTCTACACCGAATAGAACTATGTCATCAGCATATTCTAGATCAGTAAGCGACTTTCCAGGTATAAGGTCGACCCCTGAAAAATCTGACGAGCTTAGTGCTAACTCTAAGAGGATGTCTACGACAAAGTTAAACAAGAATGGAGAGAGTGGACATCCCTGACAGAGACCACTTGATGTAGGGAATTGCGGTGACAGTTCGCCATAAGCTTTCACTCGACCAGTGGTGTTCGGGCACTACGTGTACAATGTTTTTTTAACTCAATCTATTCATTCCATCTCCTTGCGGGTGATGTAATCGATGCAGCTTGAATCGATTTACAACAAGAAATCAATCCCTAAATTAAAATAATAATTCACTAGTCTTGTGAAAGCATCATCATTTTAATCGTCAACATTACTGTAGTACAACTGCATACAATACTTATCTAGTGCAAATGTTCATTCGAATTTCCCAAAGAATTTCCCTTTCAGATTGTAGTGGCTCCACATACATTTGAGTTCGCTCATATGTTTTGATTTGAATAAGCCTTTTGATTAACTTATATAACTAACAACTTATATGTAACATTGGTTTTTAGTATTTAATGTCTGATTAGGTATGTATGAGTTGCTTATATCTGAACATTGCTTACCGCATAGGTGAATATTCATTCTATTTGCTATAATGTGAACCTCTTAAATATTTCCTAAATACATTTTAATCTTATTTATTCATTCGCCGATTTGCTCGCTCGCTCACTCGCTAGCTAGCTTGCTTGCTCTCCTCTATATGCTTGTGGTTTACGGGTCAATTTGTATTCAACACTTCATATTCGTCTTCTGATTTATAAACTGTCACGCGCTAACATGCTCTAACATGTTGGATACTGAACGTCAAAAAACTAATGATATTTCGTCAGTTAGTCGTGCTGTTACGGGTGTGAGGGTGGTTTTCACTTCCCTGCTGCCCACACCGTGGAAAGTTGTTTCTTGAGGAACCTGAAAAGGAATATAGATTAGTTTTGGTCATGGAGACCTGGGTGCGTGACCGCAGAGCCCAATGGACAACTGCTTCAGGCCGGTCACGCACGGCCTTTTTATGAAAGGTTTTTTGAGGATTAGCTCCGTTATTAAAGGCCCTTAATGAGCACCCTTACCGACGGAGACGGAAATCAGTGAGGTAAGGTGAGGTGTGACATTTTTAGGGTCGACCTTTTGCAACCCTTCCTTCCTTGTGATGAGAAGGCAGCATCGCTGCAGATGCTGGTTGTCCGAGGGAAACACCTTACTGCTGTCACACCCCTCTTCAGTCAGTCAGCAGTACGACTTCGCCCTCAGACCTTGAGTAGCTGATTTTAGTCTCATCGCTCTCCAATCAACCTGTCTGACATGGTATAGAACCTTTAGGAACATATGTTCCAGCCAATATAGCTCGGTTGGGTCATCACGATAGGCAAGCCCGACCATCAACCACGTCAAGGTAGCAGCTACGGTCACCATAAGCTTTGAGCACATATAAAAATAAGCAAATGAAAAACTTAAACAATGATCAAATATATCTTTCAAATATACCTTTCATATGTTGTACTAATAATAAAGAACATGGTTGAAATGTATAACCATCGGATAAACAATGCATTGGGACAGTAGTCGGTGCATCTTTACATGGTAGAAGAGGTAATCTAATTTAAATGTTCAAAAAAAAAACAAAATAAATTAAATGTTAATTATTTCATAGAAGAAAAAAATGTGTCTTTGTATATGAAAAAAGACACCACAATCAGAATTTTCCTATTGTATGAAACTGAAGCCTAGAGAACAATCGAAAGATGTCATTCAGAGTTATCTAAGTAATGAACTGAGCATTCGTTTGATAGACAATGTCAAAAAACAACTATGTTAGCGGGACATTAAAGCATGACTAAGTTGCTGCGCGCTGATTGGCTAATTTCCTACCCAATCAGCGCCTGATCGATGCTTGCAGAACAGGGTAGAAAATTCTTGTGTTGTTAGCTGCATACTGATTGGCTAAATCTAATCCAGTAGATCATGTGAATTATTATCTAGAAGTTTCTCATGTAAATGCTATAAATAAACTAACGTTGTATCTATTTCGCCTTCGGCTTCTATTTCCATTTAACCTTCTTATTTCGAATATAATCTTTTCCTGGTCAACCGTGTTTTTTGATTCTTTGGAACTTGTCCAGTATATTGTGGTCAGAGAATACTAAGCTATAGGAATTAGCTAGAAATTATTCAAGCAAGCGTTACAACAAACTTACTGTAGAAAAAGCGAACCAAATTCAATATCAATGGTGCTGCATATGAGCTACCATTTCTTGATGCAAAAAGTGATGTATGACCCTGCTGTTGGTGACTGGTTAGTATGAGACTGCATTTCCGTTTTAGATTAGGCCTATTAGTGGGAGGCTATAAAGTCAGCTATTACTTCAGTGAACTATTGTTTCAGTTTATGAAACCAGTCCGTATCTCATCGAACATTACTTTTTTATTTACTTACGCCTGTTACCCCCAATGGAGCATAGGCCGCCCCCACCAGTATTCTCCAACCAAATCTGTCCTGGGCTTTGCTTTACAGTTCTGTCCAATTGCTGTTCATTCTTCTCATGTTTTTCTCTATTTCTCGGCGTAATGTATTCCTCGGCCTTCCTCTTTTCCTTTCACCTTGAGGGTTCCATGTGAGGGCTTGTCTTGTGACGCAGTTCGGTGCTTTTTGTAGTCTGTGTCCTATCCACTTCCACCGCTTCTTCCCGATTTCCTCCTCCACTGGAACCTGGTTTATTCCTTCTCACAGTACGTTGTTGCTGATAGTGTCTGGCCAACGAAACCGAAGTATTTTGCGAAGACAACTGTTAATAAACACTTGTATCTTATGGATGATGGCTTTGGTAGTTGTCCAAGTTTTCGCTACATACAGTAGAACTCTCTTGACGTTTGTATTGAAAATCCTGACTTTGATGCTAATTGATGTTTGTTTGGAGTTGCAGATATTTTTCAATTGTAGAAATGCAGCCATTGCTTTGCCAATCCGCGCCCTCACATCTGCATCGGATCCACCTTTCTCGTCGATAATGCTGCCCAGATATGTAAAGGTGTTAACATCATCCAAGGCATCTCCATCAAGAGTGATTTGGTTGGTGCATGTTGTGTTGCATCGTAGAATTTTGCTTTTTCCTTTATGTATGTTGAGACCTGCTGATGCAGAGGCTGTTGCTACACTTGTCGTCTTCTCTTGTATTTGTTGTTGCATGTGCGAACATACACAAAGTCAAATATTCATGAGCTACATCAATATTTAGATGCCCCTTTGTACAGATTAATTATGTGTTTAAATCAATATTTTGTAAAATAAGGAATTACTATCTATCATTCAAATGACGTGCATTAAAGTGAACAGCTCATGTTTGTCGTTGCACAGCTTTGTCTAAACAACAACGTTGCTTTACATGAATCGTTCTACAGTAAGTAGTGTATCAGTAATATTTTGATAAACAGTTATAATCAAAATTTTACATTCTCTATTCATAATGTTTGTTTCTCTGTATCATGGTAGTACAATTATTATTGTTTGAGAAAGATTAGCTTTTACAGTCGCAAACATGTTAATTCATTCTTACATGGATAAGTGAAGTAGAAAGGCAACAATAGAAAGGGGAGAAAAACGACAACACTTTACATAACTTACTTTTTCACATAATCAACTAATTCGGAAAATCTTAAAAATGGTGGTACACGTACATTGGATGAATCCATCATATCGGGATAATTAATTACATTGGTCATTTGTTCAGCCAGTTTCATTCTAACAAAGAGAGAACGAAAATGGTAATCGATCAACAGTGATCAATGTAAATAATCAAGTCATTATGACATTAAAAATATGGTAATCTATAATGTCAGTACTTAGTACAAATTTGACAAATTAATATAGATATTAAAGATTCCGATTGTGAAAATTAGAACAACACATATAACCGAATAATAATGTTTTCGATTAGACCGTCATCAGGCTGCTTTACTCGAATATAGATGAATAAGTATATGAAAATGTTAAACCAATCAAGGCAATTTATAAGTCAATAATCACAATGAAATGAAATATAGATTACGTCACTGCACCTCTAATAGGCAAAAGTACGAGTGGGATAGTATGGAAGACAGAAGTGTACTGATAGTAGTAGGAAAATTATAAAATATGATAACTAAAGTTTTATCAATAGTAGGTCAAACCTAGTGGATGAACAGACTTCAAATAATCATTCAAAAAACATCAAAACCATTACGTAATAAGCAAATGTGTAAAAATAAAAATTAAATAAAAAATATAATCTCAATCGTTAGTTACGTCATACCAGGCCGCGGAAGAGATAGGGGTGTCACGAATTTCTTCTGAACACATAAATTAGAGTTGAATGTACGAATTCCTATGGCTTCTGCTATGTGTGTACGAGACGGGATCGAACTCCGTTGAGAAATGATGGAGGTATACGATAGATCACCCGAAAAGATCTAGATTTATCTACAATTTGACCACTATCTACCAAGTGTGCGTATTGTTTTTGACTGACCATTCGTAAACCATGCTTGGAGATGTTCAATCATTCGTTGGTTAAGTTGCCTGGTAGTACGCTCGATATATATAGATATGTAGTAGTAAATAAATATAACGGTTCACGTCGTACGTTCACTAAGCTACATAAGAACGGTAATGTGGAATTGAGTTATCAAGCGGAAAAAAATATCACAGTTAATGTGATGGATGCTTATTAATAACATGCAGGAGATCGTCACATAGAACTTCCTACTACTCAGTGGGGAAGGTGTGTCTTGAGATAAAAATGCATGTCGTGATCAGATTGTCTTGAAGGCCTAGAAGAGATGTGAGATAAGACACTGAACAAGCTACTTGTACTATATATAGACATTTCAAGATTATGCGCAAACATTGTGTAAATAAAGCGCATTTCATTTAAAGTGGTTTTTATCTTTGGTCTGTGATCATTTGTAAGGAATTCATTCATTTTATTGACAATTAATCCAGGCATAGAGCTTCTACTCGGCCCTCCAAGGGAACTACTACTGTCGATCTCGTGCCAGGATAAAGGAAGAGGGTTGAGCATGAAGGTTAAAGACCCAATCGTGTAAAAATCAAACTCGTTTAAAGAAAGCTAACCAGAAAAAATGATTCACCGGTCGGCGGCTGATGCTCAAATAGAAGTAACAAGTATAAGTCAATAAGTAAGTAAGTAAGGAAAAAAGCTTCACTTATCAAGCAGCAAAACACATATAAAAGTGAAGTGCACATTTAATTACTGCCTCTACTACTTCTGGGATTTGAATTGACAATTGTGTCTCTCTGTGCTAGTATGTTACGGCAAATAGAATTGATGTACATATACCCTACGGAGTTCTACGCCGTGAGTGACCGACTGACTGACTTACCTTTTCCTATAGGATAATTTACGACAATCTAGTCCATAGATACACACCACATCATATATGAATAAACTAAGCTTTCTTAGACCATTCTGTAATAGAAATCAACAGGAGACAGAAAAGAACAATTCACTACACAGTAAAACAGTTCAGATTTTCAACACATATATTCATGATAATGCATAACAGCTGATTAAAATAACACGAAGTAAATCATTTTCTATCTTGTTCGCACTACAACAGTAGGTTATCATCTGCTTCTAATTAGATAGGACTGTACGCAATTAAACGTCAAAATATATGATTTATTTGACCACCATTTAAAACCAAGAAACATTGGAACGCTATTTCTTCATACTATGACACTCATCAGAAGTGCTCATCGACCAACACGCTTTCGGTAATCGAGCCCACATCCTTCAGTCTCGCACGCAAACGCCAAACTTCTAGAATACTGAGCCAGTGGCACCCAACGCTTTTACCAAACGAATGTTTTGCGCAACATCCCCGATTGTCTTCGGTAGTTACTACTTGTACACAACATGATCACTTCATGTGCAGGACCAAAGGTCCTGGGTTGCTGCTGATAAGTTTCATACTATGAAGAAATGGCCATCCAGTGCTAGTCAATTTTTACTGGTAGTCTAACAATGATCGATTGATGATTTCAATCACAAGAGTAATTTTTCTAATCTAACCAGTCAACCGCGATAACTCAACAGCGTTTTATTGCATGTAACATATCTTACTTTACGTTCTACAAATGTCAGGCATGTATACTGAAGGATGATAAAACCAAAGTCACACATTGAGGCAAAGTCGTATATTTGACCGTAGGGGGAATGACAGCATTAAGGTGTTTCAGTTTATGAAGTCAGTTAGTCAGTTAGCTGCAACATAGAACTCCGTGCGCACATACATTAGTTCACGTCGGCATACATACAACATCCACACAGATTAATCGAATTGTCAGTTTAAACCCCATTGTAGTGAAAGTAGTTGAAGCATTAGCGGTAATGGAAAGATTGGCATCTAAAAAAACAATAAAGTCCTGAGCTCATGAGATGTTTTTGAGCCATGGAATTTTAAAGTCTTCAACCATCAATTACAATTGCTTCGCGGACCGCAACCAGGTAGTCTACATTTACCGACATGACTTATTCCACTTGTCAGTGATTTCATGCATTTCCGCCATGTCTTGGTTTGACCGCCCCTAGCTTTCTCCCAACCTACTCCTACACCAAAAAACATCGCTCGTCGAGGCAGTCGGTGGTTGGACATACGTAACACATGTCCCAACCACCTCAACTAATGAAGTTTTAATACATCATTAGTTGTGCCGCCATACTTACCTAGTAAACGTTTCTTAACAACATCGCTTACTCGATCATCCCTTAATGCTCCAGCAATGCTTCGAAGACACATTAAATAAATACTACTACTCATACTGCCCATATTTCACACACATTGAGCAGGAGACTCGTCCTTCGGAAAAAGCCAGTCCAGCCTTCTGTATCCGTACTGAGATTTCAACATAAACCGGGCCTTCAGAATTGATGGGACATCAAGATACGCGATCAACACATTCAACTACTTCACTCCCTACCACCCGACCGTAGCTGCTACCTTGACGTGGTGGTCCGGCTGGCCTATCGTGATGACCCAACCGAGCTATACTGGCTGGAACATATGTTCCTGCAGGTCCTACCATGCCAGGCAGGTCGATTGGAGAACGATGAGACTAAAAGCAGCTACCCAAGGTCTGAGAGCGAAGTCGTACTGCTGACTGACTGAAGAGGGGTGTGACAGCAGTAAGGTGTCTCCCTCGGACAACCAGCATCTGCAGCGATGCTGCCTTCTCACAAGGAAGGAAGGGTTAGAAAAGGTCGACCCTAAAAATGTCAGACCTCCCCTAACTCACGGATTTCCGTCTCCTTGGGTTAGGGTGCCCACTAAGGGCCTTTAAGAACGGAGCTAATCCTCAAAAAACCTTTCATAAGAAGGCCGTGCGTGACCGGCCTCAAACAGTTGTCCATTGGGCTCTGCGGTCACGCACCCAGGTCTCCATGACCAACACTAATCCATCTTCCTTTTCAGGTCCCTCAAGAAACAACCTTCCACGGTGTGGGCAGCCGGAAAGTGACAACCGCCCTCATACCCGTAACAGCACGCGAGACCAAATCGGTCAAAATCAAATCCTTTCTACACCCCCTAATGTCTCTCTTATCTCTGCGACTAACTCTACTCACACTCCATTTTCTCACTGAACCGCTAATGCAGACGAAGCGAGATCACGAAACGTCGTTCCTGGTCTCTTGAAACCCCGTTCTAGACTACATGTTGGAGCTTTTAATGTACGGACATTGTGTCAAATAGGGCAACAGGCATCATTAGCTAGGACTTTAGAAACTCGTGCCATCGATGTATGCTGCGTCTCGGAAACTCGTATACAGGATCCTAGTAAAGTCATTAACCTGATTCCACCTTGTCAAAACGAAGAAGCAGCCCGATTCACTCTTCGTGTATCTGGAAGGCCTGATACTGCTTCCAGGCGTCTTGCTGGCGTAGGCATAGCGTTGAGTCCTACGGCAGAATTATCTCTCCTTGACTGGATCCCAGCAGATAGTCGTTTGTGCGCTGTCCGACTAAACGGGACAGTAAGGACTCGTAAGGATAGGGACACTCGCCGTTGCCTCTTCGTCATATCTGCCTATGACCCCACTGACTGCAGTGCAGACGAGGTTAAAGATGAGTTTTACAGAAAGCCTTCGGACCTCCTCCAAAAAGCTACGCGCTATGATATAGTAATAATGGCTGGTGACTTTAATGCTCAAGTAGGTAGACTAGGTGAAAAGGAAAGAAATCTAGGTGGATGTTATGGTGTCCCGGCTCAGAGAACAGACAATGGTGACCGTCTGTTGCAAGCATGCTCAGACAACCGCCTATTCTTAGCAAACACTAACTTTAGGCATAAGGAAAAGCATCTGTTGACCTGGCGACCCCCGAAGTCGTCTCAACGTTGGACTCAACTAGATCACATCGCCATCAGCCACCGATGGAGGGGTTCGACAGAAGACTGTCACTCGTTCTGGGGCACATGATTGGATTCAGATCATGCCCTAGTGCGAGCGCGTATTTTTTTGAAGCTTACTGGGCGAAGAAAGACACCGTAAGAAAGCCTCTTAAGGTTTTACCTAATTATAATAAGGCGAAAAATATATTTCAGGAACAACTAGAAAGACAGTTAGGCGACCGCTTAAGCGATCCCCATCCGGAAGCAGGATGGAATGATATCAAAAAGGCTGTGGAAACAGCAGTGATATCTGCTAGTAAGGTTGACCATAAGGCTAGAATGAAACCGTGGATCTCAGTAGCATCCTGTGACGATCATAGGGGAATAAGTCTAATTAATATAGTATCTAAAATATTGGCCTCAATAATACTTCGACGCTTAACGAAAGCTCGTGAAGAACAGACTCGAGAAAACCAGGCTGGTTTTCGACCTGGACGTGGTTGTATAGACCACATCTTCACACTACGACAGGTGCTGGAACATAGACACACATTTAGGCGTCCTACAATAGTTGTTTTCCTGGACCTTAAGGTGGCATTCGACTCAGTGGATCGTGAGGTTCTGTGGCAGTGTCTGACATTGAAAGGTGTACCAAAGAAGTACAATAATCTCATACAAGCTCTCTACTCAAACACCACTGGTCGAGTGAGAGCTTATGGCGAACTGTCACCGGAATTCTCTACTTCAAGTGGTGTCCGTCAGGTATGTCCACTTTCCCCATTCTTGTTTATTTTATCATAGACATGCTCCTAGATATAACATTGTCCTCGTCTGAACTTTCAGGAGTAGACCTTTTACCAGGTGGCTCGCTCATTGACTTAGAATATGCCGATGACATTGTCCTACTCGGTGAAGACGCTGAAAAAATGCAGTCTTATGACCGCCCTAAGCGACAATGCAAGCACGTTCGGGATGCGGTTTTCCCCCTCGAAATGCAAAATGTTGCTTCAAGACTGGGTTGCATCGGCACCTGAACTAGTGATAGGGAGTGAAGTAGTCGAACGTGTAGACGGCTTCACTTATCTCGGGAGTCTCATCAGTGCCGATGGCCTGGTGACTGACGAAATCTCGGCACGGATACAGAAGGCTCGATTGGCTTTTGACAACCTGTGTCACTTATGGCGTAGGCGAGATATCCGTTTGCTGACTAAAGGACGAGTGTACTGCGCAGTGGTTCGCTCCGTCTTACTTTATGGCTGTGAAACATGGCCAATGAGAGTAGAAGATACTCGTCGGTTATTGGTTTTCGATCATAGGTGTCTTCGAAGCATTGCTCGTACATCGTGGGACAACCGAGTAAGCAATGCTGTAGTTAGGAAACGGGTACTAGGTAAGAATGGCAGATCAATAGATGAAGCATTGAAACTTGATCATTTGAGGTGGTTGGGACATGTCTTGCGTATGCCTAACCACCGACTGCCTCGACGAGATTTGTTTTGTAGTGTAGGAGTAGGTTGGAAGAAAGTTAAGGGACGGCTATACCAAAACATGGCAGAAATCCATGAAGTCATTGACGAGTGGACTTAGCCATGTCGGTAATTGTCGACTAGCTGGTTGGGGTCCGCGAGATGATAATAATCGATGGTTAGAGACCTTGAATGATATGGCTCAAAATCGTTCGCAATGGCGCCAGTGCATTTATTCTTTGTGTTCTCTCAAATCCTAATCTTCTGGGTTCTTCAACACCTCTAGTTTTGACTTTCTAAACTTATCTCATCGAATCATACTTCGTGAATAATATCTTCTAATTCTAACCCCTCCGATTACTTCTAATACCTTTACTACCTCTTCTACTATTGGATTTGAATTAACAATTATATCTCTGTGCTGATGTGGTATGGCGATATTAACTGATGTACTTACGTAAGAAGTTCTACGTTGCAACTGACTGACTGACTGACCACCATTTCAGCTACTGATGCAAGCCAATCCTGAGGCGACATTTTGCATTACGAGGTGTAAGACCGCATCCCGAATATGCTTGCATTGTTGCTCAAATTAGTCAGAAGACTCTGCATTTTGTCAGCGTCTTCACCAAATAGGACTATATCATCGGCACATTTCAAGTCAAAAGCGAGCCTCCTAGGAGTAGGTCAACTGTTGACAAATCAGATGATGAAAGACTCGTATCTAATGTAGTGTGCCTATTTACTGCGTGTTCTTAGGTTTCGTAATAAGCTCGTTCAGATTGTCTTATCCAAATGACGTCTGACGGTTAATAAATCAGAAGATGAATTCCAAGTATCGTATACGTTTATTGTAGCACACCACAATAAGGATAGCAGAGAAGCGAATTGGAGAAGGCTAAGAGCCAACTCATTGGATTACAATGCGAGCGAATGAATGAAGCGAATAGGAGAAGGCTAGTGAGCCAACTCAAAGAGATAGAGTATGACTAAGAATATATAGTCAGATAAGAATAAGACAGACATATGACAAGCGAAATAGGTATGCACACACATGAATAAAAGCGACGAATGATTGACAAGGTCAAAAGCAAGCGATACAAATTATGTGAGTTCATGGGAATATTACGAGATTAACATTAAAGCGAAAAGGATGAGTAAGTGCGTAAGCGTAAGCAATGCTCAGTCGTATAAGCTCATACAAACCAGATAATAAAAAATAACAATGGTACATACAAGTTGTTGCTAAGCGAATGGCTTGGTTAAATAAATTAATCGAAAGGGCTTAAGCAAATTAAATGTAAGCGGATGCAAATAAATGTGGAGGCACTACACTAAGAGCAATTCAATAACAAAGTTGAGTAACAATGGGGAAAGTGGACAACCCTGAGAAACGTCACTTAAAGTAATCAATTCCAATGACAGTTCGCTATAAGTTCTATATTCAGCCAGTACTCAAACACTACTGGTCAAGTGAGAGCGTGTGGCGTGACCTTAGTCAAAAAAAAACAGTTGCCAAGATCATCTTTCTTTAGAATCTTATTCAGGTATCATTCTCTCAAGTCTGTTGGTATTGGTTCTTCATTCCAAGTCTTGTAGAAGAGAATGTGGAGTATCTTAGCAGTGACTGTCACATCTGCTTCCAGTGCCTTGAGCTCGAGTTTTGTCTTATTCGGCTACTGTGCCACTCTTAATTTGTACTATAGCGTTGCTGATCTCCTTCATTGACGGCTGGTTCGTGGATGCTGCTTCGATGCTAGGTTGGTACATTGGGGCTGGTTGGTTCAAGACTTTTTCCTTCAAAATGCTCTACCCACTTCTATGTTGATGAATACGTTGCATTCCTTACTTTTCACCAGCCTTTCTAGTTTACGATATTTTCTAACGGGCTGTTGCGTCATATCATACAATTGTCTACTGTTTCTTTCACTTGCAGCCTTTTCCGTCATCATTTTTTGTCAGTTCTGATGTTCCGCTCCACTTGCATGCATTTTTCTGCCTCTTGTTCGGCTGATAATGATTACTGCTTTAAGAAACTTAACATACATATCACCAAGAATATTATACTCCGAAATCAAAGCTAAGTTTCTGACTTAAACCATGTTTTTTAGCAATTATCATACTACATTATATTCAAGACTATGATCCTATTCAAAGTAGATTGAACAAATGCACGACTACGTTGCTACGCGCTAATTGGCTAATTTCCTATCCAATCAGCGCCTGATCGATTCTTGGAGAACAGGGTTAGAAAATTCTCGTATTGTTAGCTGCATGCTGATTGGCTAAATCTAATCGAGTCGATCACGTGAATTACTACTATCCAGAAGCTTCTCATGTAAATGCTATAAAGAAACTAACGTTGTATCTATTTTTGGCCTTCGCCTTCACCTTTGGCTTCTTATTTCCACCTAACCTTGCTACTTTGGAATATAATCTTTTCCTATTCAACCGTGCTTTTGATTCTTTGGAACTTGTCCAGTGAATTGTGTGGTCAGAGAATACACTAAGCAATAGGATTTAGCCGGGAATATATCTAAGCAAGCGTTACAACAAACAGATAAACCATAAAACCATATACCTACCTTTACAGAATATTCATAAAATGGTTGACCCCAAATTAAAGTACCCGGTGGAAGTCTTGGCTTTAATCTAGGTATTACTTGATCTAAACTATTCCATTGATCCCCGTCTGTAGTGCAAAATGTATTCTTTTACAAAATTGATAAGGAAGACAAAAGATTACATAATATATTAACAATCATAATAATGATAATAATAATAATCTGTATATATTCATAAAACCAATCAATGAACGTGTAATTTGTGAATGGGATGGGTAACTGATCAAGTGCACTTCCACTCCCCCAAAGTGGATCTCTTTCGTATGCACCAAACTAGTTTGAGTTCCCCTGATGGATAGTAGGTTTGGGTCTCGTTCATTTCGCTAACAACTCCTCTGCTGTGAGAATGCAGTGGTTAAGATTTCACTGGCTGTGGTTATATATGCGTGACCCTTATAAGAGCATTTCGAGGAGAGAATATTCCTAATTCTTGACTGTACTAGCGCATCCTACGGACTCATGGGCAAAATTACATTTGATTTGGTCTTCAGAAAAACTAGAAAATCAAATATTTCACCATAACTCTCTACCCGGTACCTAATTTTTCGAGAAAACTTCTATTCTTACGTTTCGATCGATATTGTGAATAAGCGATATGTAAAACAGATTTGTATCCAAGATTGGATTACGGACGGAAAATAAAGGTATTGACAGTTGTATGCATGCTGTTGATATTCTGAAAGGTTCTGAGAAATGATAGTCAGTAGTAGGAGTGTTTTTGTTAAGACTCTACTTAACTCAACTCATTTACAAAATATGTATTTTCAAGGTTATTGACAGTCCTCTTTCATATCCCTTTCAGTTTTGAATATATTCCGATCGCGCAACACATTTTGATCTCAAAATACTATTCTATCTGTCTTCCTTTCTCTCTCTCTCTCTCTCTCTGGTAACAACTTCTATGTCAGGTTACGGTGCATACTACCACGTGTAAACCACTTTGATATTGTGTTGAATTTTTTCATAAAATCAAACTGATTACTATATATAAAATTAAGTAGTCATTAAAAATAGATAAAAAAAACCACATTTTTTTTTACTTACTATTGTACCAAATCCACGTGAATAAATAAACATTGATTGAGCTGGTTCAGAATTCGATGCAATCGATGGATTACCGCATATTAAAACAATTCGACTATCACGTAAAGTATCTAAATGATTTAAATGTGCATGTGTAAATTGTGTAAGACGTATATTTGGACGATATTCTGATGGTAACATATTAGGTGATGTACAATGCTCATTATCCTGTTTTTAAACGAGAAAAGGGAAAAAATCGATGTGAGTGTGAAGTGATATGTTAAAAACAAAATATTTTTTTGAGAGATTTTTAAATATAATGTTGGGGGATGTTAGATACCCTGAAATTTGCTTAGAAAGGGTTCTAATTTTAAGGCGCATGAGTCGCTTGGTTGACCTTGAGATTACATTGCCCATTTCGTAAAATCATTGACTTGTCATTGGTTGATAGATTAATTCAGTAAGTCATTTTGTGGCCCTCAATAGGAGGTTGCTATCATTGTATAAAGAAGTTTGATTTGTGTGCTTAGCAACCTCGTATTTTCTGGGGATTTGAAGAATCCACTCTCTAAGGCTTATTAAAACTTTTTGATTTTGTTAGCTGGGGCTGGGGGAACGGATTAGAATATTTGTCTTTGTTCAGTTTACCAAGTAAGGTGAAATCTTAGTAGTTCACACATATCAACTGACCACCATATCGATTGACGACGAAGGTTTTTAGAAACATTGATCATTCTAAACTTGAATTAATACTTGAGCAGCAGCTAAAACTAATGCAGATGTTGAAAGATATGAAGATTCCCTCTTCTACACAGCATACCTCATCTAATGCAACCACAGCAGCATCAGTAAACTGCA